CTTATGTCCCACTAATCTGAAACAAACACCTAGAAAATGTAAAAGTGTTAAAACAATAAACTGCTTTAAAGATTTTAAAGATTTTTCACAGTGACCTTTGACCCTTTCCGTAAGCACTACTTCTTAATATGATAAAAAGTGGCTTTAACTATCAAGATTTATTTTCTTTAACCCAGCTGTTGTCATCATGTTCTGTGTCCTACGGGTTAAAATGACCCGTCTTCACTTAATCCCCAATATAAGCAGCTTAATTCAATTTTAAAGACTCAATTTCAGATTGTATATTTAGCACAAAATGTGTGTATACATAAATTTTCCCTCTTCACTTATAGCTTAAAAAGAAAGAATAAAAATGTCCAAAAAGGAGTTTTGACTGCATTTTATTAATCCCAATGACTTAGTTTCATTATTTTCTCCAGTGAACAATTTAAGATCATGTACAATACAAAAATATGAAAAATAACATAACTCATTCAACTAATTAGCACAGGTAGGGCGTTATGCATGTGCACAACCTTTCCAGATATATTTACACCTGCAGCACACAGTATGTGCCACCGATGACTTGACCGATAAATTGCTGGCTTGCTGGGTATATAATGCCGAAAAGGACAATGACCTTTGGACAAAAGACATCAGCATCAGTGATTAGTATCAGTGTCACAGAAAACAGTCAAAGAAATTAACAGTGAAAATTGCTTTTATTGCAAATCTGAAAACAGGCTTCCTCTAAATGGAACCAGTTGCTCATCCACCGTTACATCAGGCCCTGGATTGTAGAGGTAGGGCAGCTGCTCCTCCCACTTGTCCTATTCCTCTTTTATGGCTGCAAGTCTGTCTCTCCCACGTCTCGCTGGTCTTGACTCACAGTCATCAAATCGTAGCAGTCTTGAGGTGTGGGTCTTTGTGGCATTGTGGCTCAGAAAATTGGCCTCCCACTTTTGCCAATGCATCCCATAGACTAGCAGCAGTGTCACATCGGGACCTGTATACATCTGCTAAGATTGGCAGCCCTAAGTAGGCAAGCAGGTCAGTCTCATCCATGTTTTTTTAGCTGTCTCCATATTTACGAAAAACCCTCCAGATTTGTCATCCCAAGGATAACTTTTTTCTATTGCTGGAGACATCATGGGCATGAGAAACGGCATACCTTGTGCATCGTGAGGTCATCTTTATGATGCTTTGTTCTGCATGCCTGATGTGTGGGTCATATGCTGCTGAAGACCATGTTCTTTTGCCATTTTCTGAAAAGTTTTCCTTCCAGTTTAAGGGTTTTCTTCTTCTAAACATGATTCATCATGCTCTGGGTTGTATTCCCCCTATCTTCTTGGGATACATCATCCACTTTTGCTTCTGAGTCAGTTTTCTTGCAGGACATTTGAGAAAATCAGCTCTAAAGGCTCTTCAGAGGCTCTTCATGGCTTCAGTACAGATGGAATTCAGAGTCCTGCCTGCAGCACCTACTATTAAAAATAATAATAATACTTATTTTCCACCATATTTTGCAAATAAATTCTTTAAAAATCAGACAATGTGATTTTCTGGATTTTTTTTTCTCATTTTGTCTCTCATAGTTGAGGTATATCTATGATGAAAATTACCGGCCTCTCTCATCTTTTTGAGTGGGAGAACTTGCACTATTGGTGGCTGACTTAATACTTTTTTGCCCCACTGTATATAACCTCTGGAAATAAACAGGTGGTTTTCTGAAGTGTGCAAGAACGCCACCTGATTTGCGTTATTTCTGGTACTGTTTGATCTGAAACACAACTAAAACATTTTAACATTCTGCAGTTTGTAAATGACAGCTTGATTTCAACTCTATTTGCCTTCGTACCTTTTTTTTTGTGTACAGCTTACATGTGAATGTTAATAAAAGCAACATTTTACTTTTTCTGTTTTTGGGGCCAGTCTGAAAAAAAAAAAAAGTCATTAAATTTCAAGTTAAAAGACAATGGTGGGTCATTTTCATCTGAGGTCAACTGGAAGTTTTTTTTTTTTATTACTTTATGCCATTCCAATGTTCTTATCCTGATAACCCCCGCCCCCCATCTGTTTAATGTCTTTGAACAATTACACAAATTCTCAACAGAAAAAACAAAGACAACAATCAGCTTGATGTAGACTTTATTTAGAACATTGATAAACTGAGAACTCTTGATCAATCAGGCATGACATAAACCAATACTGTAAGAATAACAAAAACACAGATCAAGTCTGAATCTGACCCAGTCAGTGTGATCAGTGAATCTAGAAGGCAGTTTGACGTGGTTTGATCTGGTGACGGGTCTCTACACTCTTCAGTCCATCTCCTCCTCAGATAGCAGCAGGTTGAATGAGTTGTTTTGGATCCGGATGCAAAAAAAAAATATATATATATATATCAGGGGGGTTTCATTTAAATCTGGTCCCATCGCTGCAGTGGAATGCTTTCTATTTCACTTGTACAAGCTGCCCACAAGTAAAGGGGCCCCACAGGACCATTGTGTTATTTACAGATATCCTCCATTCTTGAAAAATAAAAACAAATCTAGAAAACATGCTTGTAAATAGCACCTTTAACAGTTTTAAGGATCTGCACGGCTTTCAGAGGGTTTGATACTTCACATTCTACAAAATCAGGTGTTTCCTCAGCCGTGTACACATCATTACACTAACATTTAGCCCTTTATCAGAAACACAATAAGGTCGAACCGAGGAAGATGCAGTGCATATTTAAAGGCGTTGCCAGCTGATTTGACAAGTCCTGAGGATACGATTAGTGTTTATAATCAAATGTTCAGCCAGATTCTGTTGTCTTCATCCTTTCCTGAGCTTGATGGGAAACATTTGTTTTGGTAAAAACACATTGATTTAGGTATAAATAGAAGGCATGATACAAAATAAAACAATCTGATTCAACCAAATGTTAAAGTTCTTAAATGTAACAGTTTCAATTTATTTATTCCTGAATAAATGTATTTATTCAGGTAATTAAAGGCACAGGTTTCACCGAGCAGACCGTTAGCCCTCAACACTTTAAACGTTTTTATCTGTATTCAGCGATGCGCAGTAATAATACTGGGTCTCTTAGCGAAATACAACATCACTAAAACCGTTTCCTTCTTCAGTACTTTCATCAAAAATGTAAAAGTCATTTTAAACCAATTATGTCGATGATTATGGGTTATAGCTAAAGAATATTTAAAAGATGGAAATGGAAAAAGAAAATTTAAATAAAACCAAGAAATTAAAGGACTTTTAATAAGAAATGTGACCTTTTGGACCACATGACCAAGGAGAGTAATGCAGAGTAGGCAGCTTGTCTGAAGTCAATTTACAGCAATCATTCAAATCATGGAAGGTTTAGTGGAAGGATAAACATGTGGGAGAAACAGATATACAGTAAGTAAGTAACAGATCAAAGGTCACAGCTTAGTAAAGATTATTTAGTTGAACTGTGCCTTGAGATGACATGTGTTGTGAATTGGCGCTATATAAATAAACTGAATTGAATTTAGTGGCGGTTACGTTTTCAGCAATGTGTCCTCCTGCTGAGAAGCTGCATGCAGATGTTGGTACATTTAATTAAATTATCATTGGAGTTCAGGTTAGGTCAGAGTATATAAGTAGTATTGTAAAGAGGAAGCAACTATGCAGGATACCTTAAGGTCACCTACATGATGCAGTTATTCATGCAGAAGGTGATCCAACAAAGTATTGGAGCATAAACCGTACACAGATTTATGCTTTTCAGCAGGGTGACATCACTGTAATCCAAAGTCTTTTTTTATTGGTCTTATTTAAAGCTCGGTATGCCTCCCAAGAGGATTCTCCATCAGATATAAACCATAATCATCAAACTTATAAAATGATAGATTGAAGTGTAATAAATCTGTAATAGATTCACTATTCTAGATGCAGCTGTGTGATCACTCCAGTTTCAACCAATCAGCTCTCATGAGGGGGAGGGAGTAATGGCTTGATAAAACACAGATTCAGGTTTGCTTCAGCTTCATGTTTGATCTGCTGCCCTCAGTCTACTTCAGTGTTGAGAACCAGAAAAATGAACAAAAACACATCTATATAAATACATAAACAGAAAACATTTGTACAAGAATATATTCTTTGTCTGCTTTGTAAGACTTTTCAGTGTTTTTTGTATTAAATTTTTTTCATCTAAGGCTTCTCTAAGATCTTTAAGCCCCTGTGGGTGGTACAGCAGACGCACTAATATTTATAATGTAACCTTTCCCTAGAACACAGCCTGAAGAGCAGCATGGCCGACTCAGAAAACAATAATAAAACATGTTTGCGATAAAAAACAGCTTCAGCTTCAGGCTGACTGGGTAAAAAGTCATGTATACAAACTTTTTTTTCTCTTTTCTTTTTAAATGTTTTGAAGGGTACACGAATACATCTATGAGCTCAGCAACGTTGTGATTCTAATGCTACGTTCACACCAAACGCAGCAGGAGCAGCAAAAACGCATCTGTTGCTTTATTTTTGATGCTTGTACAAGTTTAGTTCTGATGCGCAGCAGGAGCAGCAAAGATGCTTCAGCAAATTGGGAAAATCCACCTGAAGACTTCATCAGTGCAGTCAGTTCATCCAGATTATCATCCTGCCTTCAAATATTATTTCTGTGGGAGCCGCTCAGACCCCCACATACCGGCGGTGCGCTTTCAGTAGGAATCCTATTCCAACAGCAGCCTATGGCCCGGTCACCTCCTCTGTTGGCGGCTGGAAAGCGTTTTTTTTTATGAACGTAATCCAAACTGCAGTTACCAGGATAATAAAAGTAAACATATTCTGCCGGCAGGTTTCTACATTTTAACTTAATTTAGGCGTAAAACTGTTTCAGAGGATGTTCTGCATCATCAGCGATGTGTCTGTCCACCTGCCTGCTCCCAGATCAGCTTCTCTGATTGGTTGATGCAGCGTCTCGAGAAGCAAAAGTTACATTTTTCCATCTCGAGCTGCAGCTGCTGCGTCAGATGCTTAAACGATCCCGACGCGCTGCTCAGACGTGCTGCTCCCGCTGCTCAAAACACGCTGCGGGACATTTTGCTGCGCATTGACGCGCGTCAACCATTGACTTTGCATGTAAACTAGCTGCTCCTGCTGCGTTTGGTGTGAACGCAGCTTAAGGTGGAATGTATGTCCTGCTGCCCTCTAAGTCGGTTCATATTAAATTACCAATAAAAATAAATAAAAATGTGAGATGGGAGAGCTGCAGCGGCGGTCAACGTTGAGCTGCAATGAAGAAGGAGGGGATGATCTGAGATCAGCTCCCCGCTCTGGTTTCCTCTGTGCTGGAGACATGGCAGTGTGTAAGGCAGAGCTGCAGTGACACACCAACATCACTGGGCTCTGGCACTAGGAAATAAAAAGATCCACTCTGTTGCTTAACGAGGCAGAGAGGAACCGAGGCATCTAAACCTTCCATGCTGGCTTCCATTGGAGCAGATCGCTCCCCTGGGCTTCTAGGAGAAGAACTCTTTCTCCAGCTCAAACACAGAGGGTCGTCCAGGGGAGCTCTGGATGCGGCAGAGCGGCACGGTGCAGTCCCGTTTCTGCCCCTCGGTATCCATGTCCAGCAGGGAGCAGCCCCCCTCTGAGGACAGCACCACATTCAGGTTCTGAGCCGTCTTCTCCCCAGAGTAGTGGCCCAGGGAGTAGCTCTTGTTGCACCCTCGCAGCAGGGCCCAGGCGTGAGGTTTGGCCCGGAATGACACAGGCCTCTGCCTGGGGACGGGGTCCCCGTTCAGCGGCTTCTCGTCCCTCTCTTTGTCCTGTCTCCTCTGGGCAGCAGGCGGGGGCAGCGGGCCGCTGGGGGCTGTGAACAGAGATCAGTCAGGTAAACCTGTTCACGCTAAGCTGGCTGCCCTGCGGTCTGTAATACTCACCGCTGTGGTTGGTGGTGTACTTCTTTCTACGCAGACGGGTTCCTGTGTTGTGGTTGCTCTGCTCTGGGGGCGGAGTCTGCATCTGTACTGCTGTCTGTGTCTCAGCTGCAGTCTTGTTACTCTGTCTGTCTGCAGGCGCTGCTTTCTTTTCAGAGTGGTGATTGTTAGCCACAGGCTCAGCCTTTCCAGGAACAGACTCAGACACCTCTGCTTCCGGTTGTAAGAGGCACTTGGTGGAGTTGCACTCCATAATGGCCGACATTGAAACAAGGTTGACAGACGGTGGGCTGGTGGGGTTTGATGATGTGTCCTCCTTGCGGGAGCGACTACCTGGCGGAGAGGTGCTGCGGCGGAACCGCGTCGCACGCTGAAATAGGCCCTCCTTCTTCTTCTTCTCCTCTTTTGGGGTCTCACAATCCTCAGGAGACGAGGAGTTCTTGAGGGCCTCCCTGATGTCATAACCCAGGACCAACGAGGCCAGCAGTGAGCCGCAGCCGTACAACGCAAAGTCAGTCTTACGTCGAGCTGACGCTCGCTTCAGGCTGTTGGTGGGGGTTAGCTGTGGTGTTGTGGAGGTGGAAGAGGTGGATGTGGTGGTGCTGGGATCTTCTGGAGAGTCTGGAGGTCCCTCTGGGCTTCCTGCACCAACCCCAGCATCTCCTGAGCCGCCGTTTCCACCGGGGCTCTGAGGCTGCGCGTCGTCCCTCCACAGAGGTAGGTCGATGTAAACCTGGTTGGGAAACTTGAGCTGCTTTGGTTTGGAGCTGCTGTCAGGACATTCCTGGGGGAATGCTTCATCCCTCCCTGCTCCTGCTGGACGACAGAAGAAACATCGATGCATGAGTGATTAATATCTCTTCTCCCACATGTTGTCATTTCATGGAATGAGGAAAACTAGAATCAGGCCTATTATGTTACAGCAGCAGGCAGGAAGTATAGAGAAAACTGGTAAAAACAACAACAAAAGACTGAAAACAGCAAGTCAAAATAGAAGATGAACCTTATGGATAGTGAGTTTAATCAGACATTACAGAAAGTCAAGCTGATACATGAATCCTTTCGATGATTAAGCAATTGCTTTTTCTTGTTTATGACAAAGAAGAAATCATTTTTTATCCCATGATAGGAAAAGGAAACAAACTCTCTGTTTTAGAGTCAATCTGAATCCTAATATATTCCAAAACGATTTTAAAGAGGATGCAACCTTGTTTAGTTTGTGATTACTGCTAGCTCACCTTGTTCACCAAACAGAGCGGCGAGTGGGACAGACTTCTGGGACTTTAGCAAGCTGGTGGACCAGGGGTTACTGCCGTCCGATAGAGGACGCACCCTGAAACCAAAACGCAGACAAAGGGTTAAAACCAGGAGCAGACCTTTTAGAGGGTCATTTTTGTGTTTATTTAGAATGTTGAAAACCTTGTTTTCTAGACATTTAAATGCTTATAAACAGAAGTCCAATGCTTCCATTCTTAGACTGAGGTTAATAACCCTTCATCTCACCTCTCTGCTGCAGCAGGCCTTTCTTTGCTCTGCACTGAACTGGGGCCCCAGGTTCTTCCTTTCTTCTTGATTCCTTTTTTCACATCATCAAACTCCTCCGGCCTGAGGAGGGTGCTGCGGCCCCACGTACGATTGCTCTCATCTTGAGTAACTGTTGACACAGGTGCCTCTAGTTACCACAAATTCAAACAGCTGCTTAAGATAGTGGCTGCAGCGAAGGCTGCTAATCTGGTTTAACCAACAGTATTCGTTCGATGGCCTTCTCTTGTCTCCTTTAATGCCTCCCAAGAATAAAATGTAATGTTATGTCTTTAATCATTTTATGAAATAAATAGGATTCAAAATGGTTTTACAGTCTAGTTATACTATTAACTCTCACTCTAAACTGCTTCAATTCAATGTATTTAACAATTGATGAAGCTTTTTATTCCTGATTCAAGATTTATCACATTTTGCAGCTCAAAACACAAAATAAGAAAACAAATATTTTATTTCATGATTAGAGGGAACATTAAAAAGCTAATTATTCAATTAACCATCAGACCATCACCACGAAACTGCTAAAATTTGAGAATTTTTGGTTTATTTTATGAAGCGAATGATTTAAAATGTGTTGTAATCACTTTCAAATATAATCTATTTTCTGATTTCAGAATAAGAAGATCCGACTTCATCTATGCAGATAAGCTGAGGAGGTGAACTCACGTTGGATGGCTCTGAGCCGGGGGATGAGTGTGGGACTGCTGGGAGGAGAGGAGCTGGTGCTATGAAGGCTGCGTCTTTTGTCCATAGAAGGTGACGCCTGCACTGTTATCTTGTGCTGAAAGTCTGCAGGTTGTAACATGGACATAGGGATGGGTGGAAACCAGTTATTACATCTCATAGGCTTTCCTCAATGATTACACAACAACAAGCATCCTTTGCCAGAGCAGATATCTCTATCACACAGTGTCAATGAAAATCACAAAGTGAAGTAAAACCACACTCGCCCACCTGATGGCAGACTGATGCGGTTTCCATCCTTCAGTTTGAGGCGGGAACGTTTGAATTTGCCTTTCCTCTTCTTCACGTTCGGCTTGTCCTTGTTGAGCTGGAAGATGAGGATGTTGAGCTCCCTCTCCAACACGTTGATCTCCCGCTCTGCCAGCTGCTGCTCACGGCGCTTCAGCAGCTCTTCCTGAGACTTCTGCTGCAGGGCGGCTCGCGTCAGCTCCTCCTCTCTGGAGCGGAGCTCCTGCAGAGAACAAAGTTTGTTTCAACTGTGGCATCTCTAAACATACAGACTGCACAGCTGAACTAAGGAAGCTGTATAACTATTTATATTCACTTCTTTTCATGGGTATGAATTCCTCAGAACAAGGAAGTGCAATACATCATCAGGAAGGTGAGTCTTTTGTGGTTTCTACCATCTCTAAAGGATCTTTAAATGCCTTTAGATTGCTTCTGAAATAGTCTCCTTTGGCGACTTGTTTTAGAGAGGTTAAAGCCTCCTTTTCCTCTGCTGAGTAACTGTAATCCTTACCAGTTGACTTCAACAAAGTAGCTTTCCAGTCAAACCTATCTAGATACAGATTAGTCTGTGATGTTTGCAGGAAATTAGCTTAATACAATTAATGCTGCCAGTAATCCTGAAAATTTGGTGTCAGGAAAATGGTTTAAGATAACAGTTTTCATTACAGTATGAAAAAACTAATTGATAGCAGACTAGATTGTCAATAGACTAAAAATGATTGGAAAATAGAACATATTGCTTTAGATAAGGAGAGAGAAAGCTAACACATAGGCTGTGCTGACTCTGTTTTTTTTTTTCTCTAAACACTAATTAACCCCACCTGCCCCCACACACTTTAAAGAGAAAGCAGATTAAGGTCTTAAGTAGGGGGAAGTACGCTGGAGCACCATGGCATTAATGACTCTGTTTAATACACATCAAGCTTATTAACCTAAGCTGAACAAGGAGGGTTTTAAAGCATCAAAATCTGCCCAGAATGGAGCTACATTTTATGTTTTATAGCTTATAGCTCTGCACTTACAGCTAGCAGGGAAAAGAGTCGTCCATACTTAAGATAGACACCTTCAATGTTTTTTGTTTTGTTTTGGGGTCTTACAGGAACCCCCCTTTATGACCTCTACCACAAATGACCTCAGCCTGCTGGACGTACACTGCAAAAAATATAAATCTAAATAAGCACTTTTTTCTTGCATTGAGGAGGTAAGTTCAACACATTGCTAATGGAACAAGACAATTTACATTTGAAGTAAGAAAAAACTATTGAATCGTCTTATTTTAAGTGCATATTATCTAATTATCTTATTTTAAGAGAAAAAATACTAATTCCATTGGCAATTCATCTTATCAACCTACTCAAATTAAGGGTAAATACACTTGATTTAAGAAATGTTTACTTATTTTCAGATCGTTTTTGCAGTGTAGAACCCGGCTTTATTGATAATCAGCTGTTTTGGCGCTCCATTTTAAAATATCACTCTGAAATGGGTTTGTATATTTAAAAAATAACGTATTTAAAAGATGTATTGGTATGTTTAGTAGTACGTTTAATAAAATACGACTGTGAAAAATAGATCAAATTTAGTTCAGATTGTTCATATTCCAATTACATGTAATACGATTTCTAATTTATGGAAATAAATCATGAAATTCTTATATTATTTATTTTAGTAAAAATACTAACAAAGAGTTACAGGTATTTATACTGTATCACAAGCTTCAGCAATCATTCTGGAAAATGCAAATCTTTTAAGTTGAACAAAAGGTCTGAAAGCAGGACTCTTACATATAGCATACTACACATCTACTGATAAAACTTTTTTGTTTCTTTCATTTTAAGCAGGCCAGATCACTTAAATTGAAAGTAAACTAAAAGACATTGCTGCTGTAATCTCTTATTCTTTTAATAAGCCATGTAACCTGCCGTAACCTGGTTTAATATTGGTGTGTGGCCTCAGTGTGAACATCTGATGTTACTCTCAGTGTATCCTCAGACAGGACAAGTTAAAGTGAAGATTGGACGCCTTAAATTCCCTTACAGTATGAGGCAGAGATCATTACCGCCTTCAGATGTTCTGCCGTACCTTCTCTTTGGTCCTGAGCTCATCAAACATCTCCTGGATCTCCACCCGCCAGTCGTCCTGCATGCTGTGGAAGGAGTCCTGCGGCATGGTGGCCATCACTGCCTCCTCGATGGCTGACAGCTGCTCCAGGATGCAGGAGAAGGAGGGACGCACATGAGGGTCCTGGTCCCAGCACTCTACAGGAAGAAACACAGATGGAGTAGAGTCAATGAGTCTCATCTCAACTCTTTAAATAAGCTGTTTAACAGCTCAGTAAATTCAGCTCAGATAATGTTGGTTTAGCCAGAATATGGCACACAATCCCTGAACAATGATGGAAGCTAGTTGAGGCAAATGGTGACAATGATCATCATTAGAATTTCCACTGATCCAAATATACTTATAGTTATATCTGAAAATGTCAATTTCTTAATTCAAACCATATTCTGCTTCTACTGTAGCTCCTAAACTTTATATAAACATCACAATCTACTGTGACATAAAGAACAGGTAACATGACACACTAGCCAAAGAACCTCACATCTGGCTGAGGATTGGCGTTAAAGCAATTTTATTTATATTCTCTCCCTGGTATAGACTGAAATGAAGCTGCTATGTTATTTATCTAATATGAAAAGGATTATGTCTGCCATTTCACCATCTGTTGTTTAGCACGTATAAAATACAGGAAAAAACTGGCACATGGTTATGAAAATATCTGCAGTTATTGCTGTTTTTATATCTAATTATCTATTTATCTGTAAACCCTAGAATATTAGTGAATCTCCAGCTGTTAGTGGGTCAGGTTCTGGATGGATTAGAGCCATACGAAACAGATCCATCCAGCGAGGCCATTTTGGAACTGCTGGACAAAATGATATGGAGCCACTCAGAAAGAGAAGCCATGACATGAAAAAGTCCGTCCACACTGCATTTTCTCGCATCTTGATTCTTCCAGCAAACCCTCACGTCTCCATGGTGACGGCCTGTATCTAAATAGGGCGGTCTGCACGACATTTGCACTTTATCAATTGTGGATACAATGTTAGTAGATTCCCCCTGACATGCCCTCTAGCAGCATGTGTTATTTATTAGTTTTAGTAACTTGGTATCAGGGATCCAATTAGATCAGGCCTCCATAGTGATTATTCTAAATGGAAAGAAGCAAGCCTGTGATATAAATCCAGTGTAAGCTTATTGTAAACTGGAACTGATCTGCACTAGGTTGCAATCCATCATACTTAAGACACATACAGCTGATCAATGGTCTGATTACATTAAAAGCAGTAAAAGCTAAATGATCAGCTCAATGCATGAACAAGGTCCTACAGGTTTCAAACAGCTTGACTGGAATTGGATCATTGCAGATCTTAGATAATAAAACCTAAATATTTTAGTAAGTATGCATTTTTAGTAGCCATAGAGAAAACAAAATAACCCAAAAGAGGATAAATTTATATTTTAGGATAAAAAGCACAAATAAAAAATAATTTAAAAAGACAATGTAGTTATTTTTCCCCCCAAAGAGCACCATTTGATTCTCTTTTTGATTGGGAAGTTTGTCTTGAAAGATTGACTCTAATTACCTTCCATGAGCTTGGCGAAGGGTTCAGGGCAGGTGGAGGGGATTGGAAGTGTTAACTTATTCACAGCAACACCATAAGCCACTGCCAGCCCGTCGATCCCTCGGTAAGGCACCTCCCCTGTTAACAGCTCCCACAGCAGGACGCCATAACTGATGGATGGCACACACATAAAGATAAAGTCAATAAAACACAGAAACATTCACCTCATGAGATATTTTTATCAGTTTTTTCTTTTTCTATATTTGGTCTTTTTATTATCTCACCTCCAGACGTCGCTGCCTTTGGAGAAGAGAGAGGACTTGATGACTTCAGGGGCCATCCAGGAGTAGGTGCCTGCAGCAGACATTTTCGTGGTTTTGTGCCACTCCCTTGCGAGGCCAAAATCTGTGATCTTTAAGGTCTTCCTCCCGATGTCATCATTCTCAATTTTTTCAAGTAATAAAACTATAAAGAAAAAATAAAAGGTAGAAGATTTAGAGCTAAAAAAAAAGATGCAGAAGATTACGGTAGACAGATTTTCAAATATTCACCAAATTTACCTCATATTTCCAAGAGTCTTTGTGGTCATTTTTAAGCTTTACAATAAACTTATAGTTGTGTTAAACACTCTGTATTCTAACAGGATATTATAGAATTATCATTCAAAATATCAAAGTTATTTTTTTCTGATAAACAAAAGCTCATGTTTATATTTCCAAGTTACGAAATATCTTATTTATCTGAATGTAAACTTGGATGAATCACAATGCGATGGATGGATGGATGTAGATAGGAAGTATGAACACAAATTGTTCCTCATTAATTCAGATCTAGAGAGAGTAGGGGATAGAAAACTGCATGTGATGGCCATATTTATGAAGGGCAACACTATTATGGATGCCATTAGCTCCTGTAGTGTCAGATGACAGACAGCATCACAAAGCTGCCATCCTTCCAAAACCATTTAACACATAAAGACAGAATTAACAGTTGAAAGCTCAGTGGTTGTGCTGGTAAAACAAAACCTGAAGTGAAAGTAAGGCCTCAGAGAAGCCACAGCCCACTGACAAACTCTTTAGTTCAATAAAGTTGAGACACATCTGTGACAATCTGGTGTAAAAAGGAAAAGACTCTCACACACACAGCTGATTACACATTCTGCTCTTTCCTATTTCTTAAAGCTGGGTAAACAAAATGGCTAGTGGGTGATGCTACTCTACATCAACCTGAGCATTCCGCCTCAGGTTGATGCGTTGGTCCAAAACATTTCTGTATAAACGCCAACGTCATAGATTTTTCGCAAGATGTATTTACAAGAGTTGCCTAACTTAAAACTTTTTGCGACAATTCATCTTGCTTGCTAGATAAGAAAATACTGTATGTTGTTTATACTGAAAACAGCATAAAACCTAAATAAAGAGAATAAAGAGAGAAAAACAAAACCACGGAAAAGCTGATAATGTCACATTGTAACTTTTAGTGCTAGACTGAGACGTCATGGATGACAAACAAACCAAGGTCACATTCAGTCCTCTAGATCTAGTCCTACATTAGAGAACCAAGAATATGTCTGACCAGGTAGGTGTACAGTAATATCTATGTAACTTTTAGCTTAGTTAGCTGTGGTGTTTAAGGGGAGCTCAGACTGCTCTGGGTCACATGACGAGTTATTGAGATGGGCAAGACGCAAGGAGCATCGATTCATGCCCACAGCTGTATATTGACTTGATAAATAATTCAAATCTATCTTGATTTAAGCTAATAAATAGGTCAAAACCTGCAGCGTTGCTTTAAAAAAGTGTTGCTCATTCTTTTTTAAAGAACCACATAGATTTTTTTGGTCTATTTTAATTCCATTTCTAAGGTTCAATTATATCCTTTAAGAAGTTGATAGAGGGCATTACTGCCATCCACCCCAAACTAATGCTGCACACTGCCAGTAAGATGGATAAAAAAAAAAAAAAAATGCCTGATAGCTGTATGCATGTTGATTCATTAGTGTTTTAAGCAGCCATGGTTTGAGATCATAAGTGCATGCAATGCTGCACCTTCCATTTGCTATCCATTGTAAAGTTTTTTTCTTTATGAAATCTGCATAACATTTGTTGTCATTATCTCATTTTCTATCATGTAAATGGAAAAAAAAGGGGTTTGGCTTCAAGAATCCCCCCCCCCCCCAGCAGGCTATTGGGGATCGGTTACACTGATGTCAAAGTAATCAACTTAAAAAACAAAAACAAAAATGTATTGAAACTTGAAATGCTTTAGAAATAAAACTCTCACTGGATCATATTAGATACACCTCACTGTTGATATCTGTAGTCGCCAGTTTTGATATACAATTGCATTATTAAAAAATAAACCAGCTGGGGTTGTAAAATAACCAAACTATCAAAGTTTTAATAACAAGAAGCCACTTTTTATCATCCAGAAAATCACTCTTTGATTCCCTGATACTCTTGATTTCTTTTTCATGTCTGTTTTTCTTCTGCCAAAAGCTCCTCACATTACAACCTTTTCCTGACTTTACACTCAGACCTATCACTTACAGTCAAGCTCCTGCAAACAACAGAGATGTTAAAATTTAAGCCCTAGTAACTTTTCAGTAGTTTTTTTTTTTTAAATCAACGTCAATACAAACCATTGCTACACATATAATAAACATAAAAAGTGGCTTTGCTGAACTCTTCCATCACAATAAATGAAAAGTTGCATTTTTAATCACTTAATGCAACAGAGAACCAACTTCTCAAAAGAAATATTTGTGAAGCTGGCAGCTTGTAACAGCGTAGCTGTATCATGAGTTGGGTTTTATTGCTGTCTGACCTTGAACTCTCTGCTCCACATCTCTGCATGAAAATGAAAAGAAAACTGTTAACTTTATGCATCAACTTCCTTATTTTATAACCTTATAAAAATGCATTGATTTTAGTAAACATATTATAAACAATTCTATACTTCAGGT